AAAAAAGAGAATTCTTAAGGGAGTGTGTGCGCGATATGGAGTGTTCATTTATAGTTTAATACTTCTATATCAAGAAAAACACATCATACTAAAAGTAACATCACATGTTCAACATCGTTACTCCATTCTTATTTCACATTATTCTTTTTTACCACAAATTGCCCAAGACAGTTCTTATGCAATTTTTCTTTTTCTTTTTTTTAGTAAATATTTGAAAACTAATAATATTCTAATATAATTTATAATGAGTTGTGTACTTTAAGTAAGTACAAAGGGGTTGTCTTATTATAGGGGGGGGTTTTGTGTTTTACAGTGGCATTTAAGTTAAACTGTTATTATCATTGTGTACTAAAATATTCAAGTGTAATTTAAGGTACATTCACATTAGTAATTTGAAATGTGCTTTTGAAACTCAACTACTTTTACATAGAAAAGAGGCGCGCATATAAAATCGAAATTTTCATGAGGAACTATTAACTAGAGTGAACAGTGCATGTATGTGTGTATATATATATATATACAAGGACGTTTCATGTGGATGGTTCACCCTGGAGTATTTTGCGTCTCGAGTGCCACGTTCAAGTAATTTCCCCTTTTCGACACAAATGTATACCTACAGATACATAACCACAGTCTCTGTCCCGTGGTTCGAGTATATATCTATACAAGCTCTTCGCATTTGCTCATCGCTATATAGAAGCTTTCTATATACATAAATATGCTTTCACAAAGTCACACATACATACACAAACACTTAAATTACATTCTCATGTGAATATATTAATCATATTATATTGTCTTCTATACATAATACGTAATTTAAGAGAAGCTTTTGTATTTTTTTTTTTTATTTAAAAAGAATAACATCTTTTTTATATTTTTAAGAAAAATAATAAAAATCGTTAGAATTTTCATTTTAAAGAATGCCAATCAAAAATTTACTACTGGCGCAGTATTGGCGCAGTATTGACGCAGTATTGACAAGTAATGGCGCAGTACTGGCACCCAGTATTGGCGCCAGAGTTGGCGTAACTTTGGGATGATAAAATTTTACCAGTATTGGCTACCAGAGTTGGCACCAGTACTGCTAACCACTGCTGGTTCAGTACCGGCCGAGTACTGGCAGTTTTGTAATTTCTTGTATACGAAAAGAAAGCTTTAACTGTAACAGAGATAAGTTTCACTCCAGGTAATACTTTTTTGGTATACTTGGGAAAAAGTGTCTTCAATTTTTAGTAACCCAACACAAATTAAATATTAATTAAATTAGTCAACTAACTAATTACAGGCCTCGGATTATACGATTTTTTCGACTATTTCCGACTTTTTTTTCAAAATTACGACTTTTTTCGACTTATTTTAATAAAATGCTACTTTTTCGACTTTTTTACATTTTTAAAATTTTTTAAAAATAAAATCCGTTTTTTTAGTATAAAATACATTAATTATTTTTAATAATTTTAATGAAATTTATCACAAATTCAATTATTTCAAATTATTTTTCAATTAAAATATTTTATGAAATTTAACAATTGTTTAAAATTTAAAAAAAAAATCAAATAAAATTATCAAAAATTTTTAATTCAAAATCTTTTAAAATTCAGTTATTTTCAAAAATTTCAATTTAAAATCATCTAAAATTCAATTATTTTCAAAAATTTTCAATTCAAAATCAAAGAAAATTCAGTTATTTTCAAAATTTTCAATTCAAAATCTTTCAAAATTCAATTATTTTTATTCAATTTAAAATCAACAAAAATTCAATTATTCTCAAAAATTTCAATTCAAAATTAATTATTATTAAAATTTTCAATCAAAAATTAACTAAAATTCAATTATTATCCAAAATTTCAATTGAAATTTAATTATATTCAAAAATTTGAATTTAAAAGCTTCAAAAATTTAATTATTTCTAAAATCCTCCTGAAATTCAGTTATTATTAAGTATTTTTATAATATTCTTTGAAAATTCAATTATCTAAAATCATTTTGAAATTAAAAAGATTTTTAAGTTCAATTTTTGTAATTACTGATAAATTCTTCAATATTATTTTCCAAAATTTCAATTCAAAATCTTTTAAAATTCAGTTATTTTCAAAATTTTCAATTTAAAATCTTTTAAAATTTAATTATTTTTCAAATTTTCTATTTAAAATCAACTAAAATTCAATTATTATCAAAAATTTCAATTCAAAATTAATTATTATTAAAATTGTCAATTAAAAATCAACTAAAATTCAATTATTTTCAAAAATTTCAATTCAAAATTAATCATCTTTAAAAATTCAGTTACTTTTAAAAAATGTTGTCTAAAATTATTTGATAAATTATTCTTAGTTCTGTAAAATTTAATTATAGTCTGAAAATTAACTTTTGAAATTCAGTTATTTGTTAAAATTTCAACTTTAATCCTTTTCAAAAATATTATTATTAAAAAATCTAAAATTTTTTTGTTAAATTATAAAAAATCGACTTTTTTTGGAATATAAATCGACTAAAACGACTTTTTTTGTGCCTTTAAGTCGATATATATTGCAAATTATTATTTTAAAAAATCAAAAAATAAATATAAAAATATGTTTATTATAAAACCAAAGTTCTGAGAAAAAAAGTATACGTAATTTTTTGTAGGTTTATAAATTTTCGGGTAAAAATTTTTAAATTTAAGTTTTTTTCAAAAGTATAATATCTATTTTAATCACATATATATTTGCATCGAAGTGAATTTTTAAAAAACTTTTTTAAGAAAATAAAAGTTGTTTTTTTATTTTTAACAAGTATTGTCAAGAAATTTTTTTTAAAATTTTTATTTAAAAAAATATGAATTTTTTATAAACAAATTTATTTGTTTTTAGTTCGATCGTTTAAAAATTTTTTTTTGGTTTATTGCATATCTGAAAACAATAAGAAAATCTTGCAAAATGTTTTAGGCTTGGTCTCAGGAAACTTTTTGTTTAAATAATTTTACCCACAGAAAAGCAAAATAAAATACATTTTAATTTTGAAAAATAAAATCAAGGTGAAAAAATTTTTATAAACAAAATATTTAAACAAAAAGATTCATCAGGTTCACTCTAGAACTTTTTTTAAACTAGTATTAATCAAAAAGAAAATCTATTTGAGCCAGTACTGGCTCAATATCGGCTCAGTACTGGTTTGCCAGTACTGGGAGGGTGGTATTGCAACAGTACTGATACAATGAAAATACAAGTACTGGTTCAGTACAGACTGCCCAGCCTCGGCAGCCAATACTGAACCAGTACTGCGCCAATAGTGAATTCTTGTATAATACTGAAATTTGTGGTTGGAATTTTATATTCGTTTAGCCGAATTTTCATTTTTTGAATTAGAATTTGATAGAATTTCTTTTTTAAATCTATTTTTTGGCAAAATTCTTAAAACGTCGAATATTTATTTGTCCGAAGTTACAAATGACCGAATAAACAAGCGATAGAAAAATTTTGGCGCGTTTTTTAAAATTGACCAATAAAAAATTGTGAAGAAAATGCGTGATTGGTGAATTCTAAAAAAACGCGCCGAAATCGATTGTTTGTTCGGTCATTTGCAATTTCGGACAAATAAAAATTCGGCGTTTTAAGAATTCTGTACAGTAAAAATTTGTTTAAAAAGAAAATCTGTCAAATACTAATTTAAAAAATGAAAAATCGGCTTAAAGAATAATTATATCTGTAATAAAATTCTTTAAAATAAAAATTCTCAGTATAGATTTTTATGGGACAATCATGCGTACACCAAAAAAAAATTATTTTTTTAGATGAATTTTCAATTTTTGAATTTAAATTTCATAGTTCTTCTTTTTATAGGAATTTTTAAGTAACAAAATTTTTACATACCGAATTTTTATTTGTCCGAATTTTAATTTATACGAATTTTTAATTGATAAAATTTTGAATACGCTGAATTTTCATTTGTCCGAAATTATAAATCACCAAATTAAAAATTGACAGAAAGATTTTGGCTCAATTTTAAAAACTGACCAATCACAATTTTTTTGAGAATTTCTAATTGGGCAATTTTAAAAATTGTTCCGAAATCTTTCTGTTTGTTTTGTAATTTGGCCAATTTGTAATTTCGGACAAATGAAAATTCGGCGTCTTAAAAATTCGAACAAATGCGAAAATTCGGTGAATTGAAATATCAGTGGGAATAGAAAAGTTTTACGGTATTTTAGAAACAAAACAATAAATTTATATTAATTTCTTATATATATATATAGTTCGATGATTAACCTATATTTGGAAAATAAAAAAAAAAAAATAATTTTTTTTTAAGAAAAATATGTGATGATTATACCAATAAGGAAAATATCCTCGTATAAATAATACTCATATAAAAATGTGGCGTAAACTTGACTAAGATATAAAAATCTGCAGTATAGAGAGAATAAAAAAATATAAAAATTGACGATGGGAAATATTTAAAGAGAGGTTACAAAGTTCACTGAAGTGACAAGAGAAGACTGGAAAAGTAGACTTTGGATAATAACGACCTTTCAAACGACTTTATTCCATTGGCTGATAAAACTTTTCCGGGAAATATTAGTAACCAATCAGAAACGTTATAAATGGCTTTCTATGGGCAGTGATTCTCATTCATAATTTTATATTAAAAATTATTGTGCCTAAAATTTTGCAATATTTTTTTCGACTTTATATGTATCTAAAAATAATTTTTTATTTCTGGAAAGAAAATTTTTAGATATTGTCCTTTTCTATTGTAATTTTTTTTTTTGGCAATTTATTATTACGCATTAATTTTTTAATTATGAATTAATCAAATAATAATATAAATAATTTAAAAAAAACAAATAAATTAATAGACTAATTGATTAATAAAATAAATAAAAAATAATTGTATTAGAAAAAAAAGTTTTTAAAAAATTAGAATTATTTAAAAAAAATTTTTATTAAATAAAGTTCTTTATTATAATTTAATTAATTATCTTTTTTTTAATTTTCGTCTGGTTTTTTATGTTTCAGATTAAATCAACTAATCTCCGACGCTGAAATATACAAAAGAGTGAAATCACAATTTTGGTAAGTTTTTTATATTATTTTTAAAAATACTGGAATTTATTTCATTTTTAGCTCGCGTATTTACAGAGAGAGAAAGAGAGAGAGAGAGAGAGAGAGAGAGAGAGAGAGAAAGTGACAATAGAACTTTATTAATATTTTTCATATTTCAACGCAAGAAAAATGAAATTAAAATTTTTTACACCTACTTTTTTTTTTTTTTTTTGAACATTGTCATTTTTTATCTCATTTTATTTATTTAACATTTTAACATTTTTTATATACAATTTGGAGTGTGATTATGGGTAATTTTATATAATTTAAAATTACTGCATCAAGATGTTTTTCTTTAAAAGTTTTTTTTTTTTTTTCGCAATTTTCGAGTGAGATGTTTCCATGCGGAACAGAGTACAAAGGAAAACATAAATGAAACTGAGAAAAGAGGTAAAAGATAAAAAGAAATATCAAAAAAAAAAAGGAAAAAAGAGACTCGACGCAACTTCTACTCGCGCGGAGATAGATTTTCTCTTTTTCTCTCTTTTTCTCTCTCTCTCTTTCTCTCTTTCGGAGACTTTCATTCTTTGCGTCTTCCACGATTCAGAAAACGCATGAACAGCATGGAACTTGTTGAAAACAACTATAAAAGGATCCGTAGGATGTGTTTGTGGTAAAAAAGGACTTTAAACTCATTAAAGCAACGCCAAAATTTATTATATATAAGAACTTTTACAGATATTGTGGCTCTCTATGAGCACTGTCGAAAGACTACTAACTTCTCTGGTAGTAGGAGATAAGGAACCACCTATTTTTGGTTACGTCACAATTATTAAAATTTTTAAATCGACTCACAAACGTAACATTCTCCCACCTTTTGAGTTATAGAATTCAAAACACGCTTTTCTAAGAGAAATCTAAACAAACAAAAAATACTCCTTTTATTATTTTTTAAAATTTTTGAGGTCCAAAGAAATAAAGTCACATATATATTTTATTGTCCACATATTAAATAAAATTTCGGACCTATATAAAAAAAAGGAGAAATAAACTCTTTTAAAAAAAATTTAATCTTTTTACTTGTCACTCACACATAAACATTTTTTTTTTTTTTTACAACTTCAAGCGATCAGGAGCTTTTATCACTCGTCCGCTCCTGGTACGTTTTTCTACATTTAAATTTTCATCCTCGACATTACTATTTTCCTTTGATTTCACACTTGCCAAGTCGTCACACACACTCGGTGATTTACTCACACATTTCTCGCTTAACGCTTTCACAGAACCTTTCGCCGTTATCGGACCGGCTACTTCAAGAGGGAATAGGCGCTGTACAGGCCTTATCAACTCACCATTTGTTGTTTTTAGTTTCACCACGCGCACTTTTCCATCTCTCCCCGGAATAACTTCAAGCACTCTAGCCAAGGGCCAATTTAGCCTCTTTTGATTTTCGTGCCCCACCAACACAATTTCCCCCACTCTTACTTCACGGTCACTCGATGTTTGATGAATTCTTCCAGACAGCTGACCGAGATATTCCGCTCTAAATCGTTGACGTAAATCATCCTTGACTTTTTGTCGGTACTCAAATCTTTTTCCCAAATCAATTCTGTCAATTTGATCCAAATCCATCACTCCTGTTTCTGTGACCTCCTGCAGGAACATAGCCGGTGTCAAAGGGGAAATTTCTGAAGCATCGTCCGATAAGTAGGTAATGGGTCGGCTGTTTACTACTGCTTCACAGTCGCACAGTGTGGTATTCATTTCCTCGTATGTTAGAGAGGCTTTCCTCAAGACCCTTTTCAAGAGATCTTTCAAAATTCTGATGAGTCTCTCCCACCATCCTCCCCACCACGCTGCAGAGGGAGGATTGAATCGCCACTCGATTTCGCGAATCACGCTGAATTTTTCGATCTCTTTCCAGTTCACTTTTCTGAGCAGATTGTTTGTGCCCTCGAAATTCGTGCCATTGTCCGAATAGACAATGCTCGGACGTCCTCTTCTGGATATAAATCTTCGTAGAGCTTCCAGAAAACCAGCCGTAGTTGCCCTCGTAACCAGCTCCAAATGCACTGCTCGATACACTGCACATGTAAACAAGGCGATCCATGCTTTTTGTCCTCCAGCCAAGTAGACGGGACCAGCGTAGTCGACTCCTACAACTTCGAACACTTTTGCATCGCGAACACGAGCCTCAGGTAACGGAGCCGGCGCGGCCTCCAAGTGTTTGGCTTTATGTCTCTTGCAGATCACACACTTGTTTATCACCGACCGAATTGCTCGTCTTCCCTTGAGAATCCAAAACTTTTCTCTCATATTATTTAAAGTCCCTTGAACACCAACGTGTTGTAACTGTATGTGATAGAAATAAATTAATTTTCTTACAATATCGTGATCAGGATCTAACACTACCGGGTATCGAAAATTGTCTGTATCATCTCGATTGGAAATACGCGTTTTTAGTCGAATTAATCCATTTTCGTCAACACATGGGTTAAGGCTCTTTATTTTTTCGTCGTACTCACTTTTAAACGTTTCTTTCTGTACAACGCGTAATACTTTAAATTCTGCCTCGCAGAACTCTTGTTTTGACAGCTCACCGTATTTTCTCTCACCTCGCACATTTGCGGTAAAACGTCTTATCCACGCGACAATTCGAACAATTTTTATATACGATGAAAAACGCGCTAAACGTTCATTAAATTTTTCGGTATTATTTTTGTAATACTCGATTGTCAAAAGCGATGCACCTTCGTTCAAATTTCTCGCCGATTTCTTTAGCGCCGAATTCACCACCTCTTCACTCACTACGCACTCATCGGAAGGCCACTGATTAGGGGGGGTATAGAGCCACGAAGGCCCCTCCCACCATTTCGACTCGAGCAACTCTTGTGCTGAACAACCACGCGACGGCAGATCAGCTGGGTTGAATTTTCCAGGTACGTGTTTCCACTTTTCGGGGTCACTCAATTTTCGAATTTCCTGTACTCTGTTTGACACAAAAACTTCCCAGGGACAGTTTCTTTGTATCCAAGCAAGGACTGTGGTAGAGTCACTCCAAAACTGAACATTAACTTCTTCAAGTTCCAAGGCTTTTGTCACTGAGTCCATGAGGCGCGCACCCATGCACGCTGCCAAAAGTTCCAATCGCGGTATTGTCATACTCGGAAGGGTTTTATGTTTCGTTGCAATGCCCTTCGTAGGTGCAACTCTCGATTTCGCTTGAACTAATAAAACCTCTACTCTATTTTCTAATTGAGTGCGCGCGAAAATTGCTGCACCATACGCTACTTTACTAGCATCAACGAATACATGAAAAGTCACCGACCTTAGATCACCCCCGCACATATTACGTGGTATCTTTACTTCTGACAATAAATGCAACTGTTTGTGCCACTCACCAAATGCAATGCCTATTTCACTGTCCACTTCTTTGTCCCAGTCGAAATTTTTTAAACACACCAACTGCAGGAGCAGTTTCGGTTTTAACAATACAGGGCACACAAAACCAATTGGGTCAAACACTTTATGTGAAGCGGATAAAATAACTCGCTTCGTTATTTTTACAGGTAATTCTTCGCCAAACGATCCAGACGCCAGCTTCAACACATCCTCACTTTTTTCCCAATTTAGACCAAGTACACCAGTTTCCTGCTCGGAGTTTTCTCCTGAGTACTCCCACCCTCTTAATTCGAAACCTCTTTGTTGCATGATCTCCACGGCAATTTTTCTGAATAAAGTAACTTCTTCTTTAGAATCGAAACTGACCATACAATTATCAACGTAGAAAGCCTTTTGCAATTTTTTGATCATTGATCTCTTCTTTTCTGATAAATCTTCTTTCAATGCATCGCGCAAAAGCATATCAATAGCAGCACCAAGTAGAAATGGACTACTAGATACTCCAAACACTACACGTACATGACGATATACCTGCAACTTCGATGCATCACTATCAGTCCACCATAAAAATCGAAGATAATCCCGGTCCTCCTTCCGAACACTAATCTGAAGAAAAGCCTTTTTAATATCTGCTACTGCACCGAATTTTTTCTCGCGAAATCGCATTAACATCGTGGGTATGAGTTCTATGAGATTCGGTCCGGTTTCCAGACACTCATTTAATGACGGAGAATTTTTTCCTTTTGCCGAAGCGTCGTACACTGGTCGAACACGCGTTGTACTGTTTTCCTTAATCACTGGTCTATGAGGAAGATAATGACCCTTAATACGTAAATCACAATCAGGAACCTTCTCAATTATTCCCTCACTTTCCCAATCCTTAAAAACTTGATCATAATCGTCGAACAAATTTTTATCAATCAATCGCTTTGACATAAGAACCAGTCTCTTTCGCGTCAGCTCGTAGTTGTCTGGTAAAGGCGGGTGGTTAATTTTCCATGGTAGGGATACTTGAAAACGTCCCCCTTCCTCGACCGTCGTTGACTCATAAAATTCTCTCCTTATGTCCTCCTGATGCTCTATCTTTGTCTTCGCCTCTGTCGGATCAGTGATTCCTAATACATCAAGGTTCCAGAGATCGGAGATATTCGCTTCGCGCACGAACAATGACACGACACTCAGGGCTGTGTTCACCTTTGCTATACCCTTTTCTGATAATTTTTCACCGATCAATGTCCATCCTAACTTCGTTTCAATCGCGGTAGGACCACTTATCATTTCGAACAATTTTCCAGTTTGCAACTTTCCCAAAAAATCTGCTCCAATCAAAATCGCGATCGGTTCGGTCGACGTTCCAAAATCTGATAACACGATACCCTTTTTGCAAAGTTCTTCAATCCACGGACCATTGTCCACACATGGAATATTTTCAACAATCATATCCCGCGAAAGAGCCACGAAATTGCATTGAAACGTCTCTTCTAAATTACTCATGTGAATGTCATACGCTTTGTGACTTTGCGGTTCTGTTCTTGAACCCCCGAATAACAAATGAATCATACGTTGTTGTCCAACCGCACGATAAGACATTTTTTCTGCCACTGACGTCAAAATGTATGAGCGATGAG